ACTCAGCAATCAAACTCTGATCTCTTCTGTGGTAACATACAACTCTTTACACTGTGAACGTATTAACTCTTCTCCGGGTGCTGCTTCTCTGGCTTATTCTTCTATAGCCAGGACAGTTTTCCCTGGCTGCACCATCTTTGTAGCTGTGCTCTTATCTTGAGCATATATATGGAGCACTCTGAGCAGTGGGAAAGGTGTCTGGAGTCAAACATTTGGTTGCCAGGAAAGAAAAAAAGGCTTGTTTGATAGATATATAGATATATCTTAGCCATGCAATGGGGGAAAACCCTGCACAAAAAGAGTGACATGAATGTGGGATGATTTTTGTGTGCTATTTTCTTTAGATGGATCACGCTATCTGTGTCGGGAGAGTTGCTCCACTTTGGCAGCAAATGGATGGTGGCTTCAGAGCTCGGGAACCGTGGAGCCGGTGCCTGGTCCCAAGGAGCAGGCAGCTCTGCCCGAGCCCTGCCACTGGCCAGACTGCAGTTGATCCCCCAGAAAGAGGGCAAGCGAATTCTTGGGAGTGGATAATGAGGCTGCTGCCTAATTTTGAGCAGTGAGGGCACTGAGTTTTAGTAGCGAAACACTGGGATGATGTTGCTGTGTCAGACTAACTGGCCATCTCATCTGGAAACCCATTTTACTGACCCAGTGCCAGACGTGTCAGAGGAATATGTGCAAATGCCCTTACCCCTTTAAAACCACCTGGCTGTATAGGAGGTGCCTAATTACTGCTGACTTCAGTGTCCTGTAGGAAACTAAAGGGGACTCGGACACCAGCCTGCCTTTGTGGCAGAACTCACTGGGGGAAAGCAAGGTTGCTCCTTTTATTTTACTGAATCCTAGTTTAAGCCATGTGGAGGCTCTTCATAGGAATGTCTACTGCTTTCAGAGATTTTAACTAGAGTCCTTATGCTAACAATATCGTACAGTGTAAATTTGTAAGATTCATAGTATTTAAGTCCATAGTTTAATGGGCTTAAAAAAATACTTGGTGTCTTTAAAAATTGTTATTTCACACTTCTGTAAGACACCATCTTCTGCATTCTTCTGGGAGGTAACTTGCACTTGAGTGCACATCTTATTTTTAATATCTGATTTTTTTCTTTCTGCCATTTTATGCTGGGTTCTCACAGTAAGCTACCCCAACGGCACGGCCTGTGAACAAAACATAAAGGTACAATAACAAGCTCTGACACCAGAGCCATGATTATAAGTTATGGTCCTCCAGCTGGTAATGCAAGTAATCTGTGGCTTAAGTTGGAAAAAAACACACTCCCACAACTCACCAGTATGGGCTGGCTGCAGAATACTGAGAGCAGTCTCCATCTAATCCCTCTGGAAAAAAAGAATCCACTCAGTTCAAACAGTGCATAAATGTGAGGGAACTGCCATCTGCTGACAGACCCTTCCCCCTCCAACACTGCCTGAAAGATGTTCCTTATGGGTATCTGCTCTGCTCAGTAGTATTCCCACCAACCTCAGTTTGGGATCTACTTTTCTTCTTTTCTTTTTTTTTCCTTCCTTTTTTTTTTTTTTTCCTCCAGGTATTTCCAGAGAGTTCAGATTACCCAGGGCTCTCAGGCACTGAATGACCTTGCTGATTTGTGGGCCAGCCCTTACCAGCAGAGAGGCCGCTGCAAGTCAGCTCGTTGCAGACTCCGTAGCTCAGCAGGTTGTCAGGGCTGTTGTCAGGTCCTCCTGTGCAAGTCGAAGCCCATACGGCTCCATTTGCAGATGGATCAGGCACTCCCAGCTCTTGCTGACTTCCATGGGGAGTGGAGAATGCACCTCCTCTCTGAAAACCAAGGTCAAGACACAGAAAAATCTTGCCAGGGAAAACATAAAAAATAAAAATGTAGAAATCTTGAAAGCCCCTGTTAAGGGAAAGCTCTGCTGTTTGGATGTGGCACTGTTCTGTGATTTGCTTTTAAGACTTCATTGTCCCTAGGGAAGGATAACGGGCAGCCATTTGGAAGAAACCCGGATAGGAAGATATTTGGACGGATCCTCTGTGAAAGTCAGGTTAACAGGAACACAATTGCAATTAGATATCATCTCTCTGGAGAAAGACCTAATGGCAACTTATGTCCTGTTGCTTTCTGCAGATATGTCTGTTTTTATCCATGTTGTTGGGAAAGTGCAGCATGTCCTTCATCTATGGGAGAGGGGGGAAGGAATCAAGTGTGCTGTCGTTGATGGGAAGTTGACATAATCTTTCACTGATGTCAAGGGCCTTAGATCAAGTTTTTTTCCCCTTGTTTTGTAGTTGTTGGGGAGTTTCTAGTGTGGTAGCAATGTTGTCTCTTCTTCATTCTGGCACATCACCCCCTTTTAAGTGGATCTTTGGACACTATATATGGCTTTGGAGATGGGAAGGGCAAAAAAAGCCCCTTTCAGCCACCCTGTAGAGTAGTCACACATGACAGATTCATCCCTGCAGCACTCTTAGGTTTTATCTACTCACTAAATTTTATTTCCCCTCTGTGAGTGTTTATACTGCTTAGAGACTGCCAAGGTTCATCTTATTCATAAAAAAAAAGTGGAGGTTTATTAGGTATTGCAGCCCTGTGATTCTTTGGTGTTTGAATGTTAATGAAGCTTTGTATTCACTAGAATAGTTAGAGAGGTGGCTCTTAGCTCTGGCTTGGCAATATAGCCAGGGGTGGGTTTTTCTCCCTTTCCTCTGGGTTTTAACATCTTACATGACATTTCATCCCAGAGCATTTTTACATTATGTATCATCATGTGTGCTACTGCGTCATGCTGTGATTTTGCAAGTGCATGAAAGGGCAGGAGGGAGGCGAGAGTGGCCTCAATTACACCAAAGGGGGAGGTGAAAGCTCAGTGGAGGGACCTGCTCCTGGAAGGTAATGAATTGGGTGGCAGCACTTTGCTGGAGCAAAGCAGCAGAGCACAGGGGAATTCATTATCTTTAGGGACTTGTTGGGCAGATAAGAGGAAAGGATCCAGCTTTGTCTGGTCATTTCCATTGGCTTGTATTTAACAATACAAGAGAAATTCATTCCAGTCGCAGACAGCTCAGTTCTTTCTTTCTTAAAGGATAAAGGAAGAACTTGACCACTTCAGCTAGCTCCGAGTGATAAGAGTTGAAGGAGACTTTGATGGCTGCTTTTGGGGAAGGAAGACAAGGAGCCATTCAGGGCGAGGGAGATATCCCACAGGCCAGGGACTATTCCCCTTTCATGCCCTCTTCTCTAGGCACAGGAGGAGTCTTCTGGGATCAATGCAGGGCAGGGGAAAGGAACAAAACAGATGCCAGGGCAGTAGGAATTATGTGTACAGGAGAGTATGTGTGTCTGTATGTGGGTGGCTGTAGCTAGCCCTGCTTAGCATGGCTGTATTCAGTAAAAATGGCTAGGGGATGAGTAGCTCCAGGTACCCAGAAACAAGAGGTTCTTTCTGTCTGAGTGTTGTTTTATGCATTTTTGGATAGTATTCAGTATAATCTTGGTGCCACTTGTCTCCTCCTCTGTCTTGAGCCCTAGTTTGTTCTTTCAGTTTAACACAAGTGAGAATTCTTCATTCACTGCACATTGTAATTAGAGCAGAACAGCCACATCAGAAAGCTGAACTGTTCCCATTTTCTGAATTTTTGGCTAGAACTGCTCTCTAAACTTTGGCTTTGATTCCAACATGCATGGAATTAGTGCCTTCAAATTAACCTTGAAGAGGGATTGTGCATTGCTGGAGGAGAAGTGGACCTATTTTCTTGGTCAGACCAGTGAAATCCATGCAGTTGTTCTACGTGTTTAGCATCTACCTCTTCAGTGCACTAGGACTCCCTTACACGTGTATTTTGATGAGAGCCAGCAGGACATGCTTTTCATTTTGAGGCTGCCTTTTGCTTAATTGACCCCTTTTGCAGCAGACTAGGACCCAGAGAGGAGGTTAGTATGAATAATTACGCTAGAAGGAGGATCAGAGCTTCAGTGAACTATTCATTTATGGGAAAGCCTGTTAGCCCCAATCTTCTTATCTTTTTATGTTTTATTCTAAAGCATTCTGACTTAACAATGAACTTATGAATCTCTCCTGCTAGACATAATCTCCATACCTCTCAATTTCCTGAGCTTTGAACTGGACCTGTTAGGTCAAATTTAACAGCAGATGTAGATTTAACTTCACTCTTTCGTTTCCTCTTCCTTAAAACAGCCACCAATTGTAGTTCTGGATGTTCCAGCATTACAGGTGGCATAGACAGGACTTTTACAGCTTCTGTCAGTAACAGTGGAAATGCTCTGTGTACTTAGGAATGAATCTCAACAGGCAGGTGCTTCAGCACTGGAATCTGAGATGCTTGCAGAGACAACAGTCACGCATGCAGCCTGCCTACTCCTGGGCATATTGTGGGATATGCCAGTTGGCCTTTCTCAGTAGTTGTGATATTTTCATTTTACAGCTTTGATAAGCAGAGAAGGATTCCCTTTCTCCTGCCCTCCCTTTTGCAAGTTACTCAAGGCAGAATTTAACTTTGTAGCATCACCCAGAAAGCGCAACAGGGCCTGTGTTACAGGGGCTTTATTCTTCGTGCTTGCTCACCTACCTCTGCTATCAGAAAACTAAGATCTTGCCAGGACTATAAGGCAGCCTTATCTGCACAGATTGGACCATGCCTGTGGACTCGGGTGGCTGCTGGTTGGTCCTGCTGGGCCAGCAGATGATGCTTTTTGTTGAACAGCTGAGAGCATGGGAACAAAAAACCTCTGAGAACACATAAATTCCCATATATTTGCAAGGGGTTAAACACAAGAATACGCTCTACTGAAGGTCTAAGGGGGGCAGGGGAAGAAAGGATGTCAGAATTCAGAGCTATTGAATGTAGCATTCATTCAATTACCGTGCTTAGTTAAGCCCTACACAGTGGAGTGAAGACTGCAGTCTGTTAGGATGGATGTTACTATAAGTCAGTTAATTATGAGGTTGCTCATATGCCATTTTAACATATGTAGAGTAATATTATTCCTCTTTTGTAGGTCACTATTCTCATAAGTCTGGCTCTTGCATTCCTTGCCTGCATAGTGTTTCTTGTGGTATACAAAGCCTTTACTTACGACCACAGTTGCCCAGATGGATTTGTTTATAAGGTAAGAAACTTCAGATGGAGAAATTGCCTGAGATAATGATAGGCTCTAATTGACTACATGGTTACGATCCAGTCTGCCTTCCTTTTTTTTTTCTTTTCTTTTTTTTTTTGACAAGGCCAAACAGAACATTTGACAAGAACGTGTTGAAATGGGAAAAGTGTTATGGGAAATGTGGACTTGCATTTGCCTCTGTCAGCTCCTGTTACGTTGTAATTGTCGAGATTAACGTTTGGTGAACACTACAGACAGATGTTCAGGAACAATTTCTCATATTTGTGAATGGATTTATTGCAGCTGGAATCCTCTGTTTGCTTCCCACACATTCAAGAGACTGAGGTTTACTGGCATACATTTTGAAACTCCCAGAGTGCTGGCACATGTGTCCTTTGTGAAAGAAATCCAAATTTACCCACATAGCACACTTTTCAACTATCAGGAACAAAACCATATAACTTAATTGCTAAAGCCCTTCTATCCAGTGGGTTTATATCCAATATCCACAGAGAAAATTTTGTCTGGTCTGCTGACATTTAAAAGAAAAAATGTTTGCAAAATAGTTCACTGACTGCTGTGGATGAACTCATGAACTCCCAGGAGTCTTGACTATATGGGGATAGTCTATGAGCTGGAAAACAGAGTAAGCATGCTGGTGTATTAGTCATTGTGAATTATTCTCTTGGGTTATAAAAAAAGTGGATTTGGGACTGAATCATGCATTTCAGAATCAGATCCAAACTTGAACTTCTGAAAAGACTAAAGGTTTTGTACTCAGATTTTGGCTAGTAACATTGAACTGGGAGTTGGGTTATCTCATGGTTTAATAATAATTGTTCCTGAGACCCTTTATGGCCTTGGTAATACTTTGCTTCTGGTCCAACATTTGTTACTATTTGATTGCCCTTTATGACTACTGCAAAACAAGCAGTTTTATCTGTGCAGTTCTTAGCGTAGAAGTGTCCACATTAGCGCAGAGGCGATTCATTGGCAGCAGCTACACAGACAAGAAGCTCTGAAAAGTGCTGGCCAGGTGGGCTACAGTTCCTATCAGCATCTCTCGAGGTGGTCATGCTACAGGTCAGGTACCACACTGTAACAGAGCAGCATCTAAGATGCTTATTCTGCCAGCCCTCTACCTGTCTGAGGGTTAATTCTGGACTTCACTCTACAGAGCTTGCAATCCAGCCCATAATAGGAGCAGCCCAACATGCTCTGCTAGGACTCCAGCAAAGGGGCTTATTCGCTGCATATCAGTAATGTACGGAATTAGTGACATCTTCATTTTATGGTTCCCGTTTCCAGGCCATGAAGGAATCAACCTGACATCAGGGTTGCCAATAGCAACAGGTTTGGAGGGCTGCTGGCCGAGCCTTAGCCCAGAGCTCTGTGCGTTCCCGCAGCAGCTGAAGAGCAGCAGGGTTTGCACAGACATGCTGAGCACAGCACATCTGAGCCAAACAGCATCCTTGCAAACTACTGACACTGAGATTTGCAAAATGACCTGAGCCTGACGGGACCTCTATTCACCTCTCTTGCTCTTTCCTTCCTTCTAGCATAAGCGATGCATTCCGGCCTCCCTGGATGCATACTACTCAGCACAGGATTCCAACTCCCGGGGCAGATTCTATACTGTCATCAGCCACTACAGCATGGCCAAGCAAACCAGCTCCCGGTCTGTATCGCCTTGGCTTTCTTCAGGATCGGTAAACCACGAAGCTAAGGCTGCCAAGACAGAAGGTCATTAAAATTAATGAGTGGTGATGGGAAAGCGGGAGGGTGGGGATAAACCACCATGTCTCTACTGCATTGCTCTAGCTGAGAGAGGGCGCTGTGCTAACAGCATGACAAGAATTAATAAAACCCAAGTGCAGGAGTCATCTTAATGGATATTTCTTTTCGTGCATTGTTCTCGTTGATTTGTAACCGAGTCAAGCTCTTGTACAAAGGCATGTTTGATGTTGACTGTACCTTACGATGTAAAATATTTTTAAATCATTGCTTAACTATTTGTTAGAAAAAGAAATTAAAAAACAAAAAAAGCAAATTAGATAAACAGCCAGGGAGGATAAAAGCAGCAAAGAGAATCCCACAGAGTTGTTTCATTGCTGGAAAGTTGTGACAGGAGTGTAACATGCAATGAACGAATAGCTGAAATCATTTTGAGAGATGGAGTAGAGATAACCTGTTACAAACCACATTGCTGTTTATTTTGCCAAAAGAGGTAAGGGCGCATTTTGCTGCAAACTGAATCCAGTTTCAGTGTACATTTGCTGATGGAGAAATACATGCATCCCTTCTTGCCCTGAGAGCACACACACATAGCTGTGCATAGTGGCCCAAGTAAGTTCAGGAAGATTGAGGCATTCGTAACAAGCTGTCCCTGTGCTGCTGTTCTGGGGTGGGTTCTGCACATCAAATCCTGGTTGATATTTGGACATGGCACCAGGCGGGAACAGAAAGAGGCCACTGTAATGAAATCATGAATTTACTTCCTAGCATAGCGTTGAGCAGGGTGTTACTTCTGCTTCTGGCATGGCTTTTCTGTAACTTCCCTTTGCCAAGTTCGGTGAGTCTTCAGCCTTAGGAGCCTCCACACTGAGCGTCACCTTGAGACAAAGAAACCTCCTTAGGGAAGGAGGCACTCCTCAAGTGTGGCTGTAGTACATCAGCTGAAATATTCAGCCTCTACCTTCTCAGATACTGAAAGAAACCTCCTTAGGGAAGGAGGCACCCCTCAAGTGTGGCTGTAGTACATCAGCCTCTACCTTCTCAGATACTCATTTTCTCCTCACCCATCAAATGAGGATGCTCCTGCTTCACTCCTTCAGCTACCTTAGGGTTTAACGATGTTCAAGGTAGGTAGAAAGAGAGGGCTGGAGAGCGCTGAGTGCAAGGGCCTCATTGGAGCTCTGTCTGCAAAGACAAACCAGACCAGATGCTTAGCCCAGTTCTGGACTCTCCTCTCTCCAGAGATAGCATGTATGGACTAGTGGGAGTTTTAATGCTTGATCAGAAAGGGATTCTCTTTTCCAGAGCTGCCACCTGGCCCATTGCTGCAAGCTGGTTCTGCTCCTTGGCCTTGCAGGGTGACTGAACTGCAGGAGCAGACTCTCGTGGAGGGCAAGCTCACATTTCACTAAGGCTGCTTGTTCAGATTTGTTGCTAGACCGGGACAGAAATTAGGAACCGACCCCCTTTTCCTCCCCATTGGGCAGTTTTGTCCTCCATTTTGCATACATAGACACTAGAGGGTGTAAATGAGGGCAGAACTCCTCAGTCCTAACAGACATCATGATAAATAACTGTATAGTGTAGCTAAAAATGTAGTGCCAAATGCCATTGTCTGATTTCCTATCCTGCCTTCCCTTTCAAACCTGTAAATCCATTTCTCACTCAAAATGTACAAACCGCTCCCTTCACCAAAAATCGAAATTCCAGCAAACCACTGAACAGTTTATAATTTTGTGGTGTATTTTTTGTCAGTAGGTAGCAGAGACTGAAGTATTTTTGGTGTAATTCTTGAACTTTTCTGACAGGATAAAATAAAGCTAGATGTGACTGAGTGTCTTGGTGGCTCTGGCACGTTTCTTTGGTCTGACTCTGCTGTGTGCTGCGAGGTGACGGCCGAGGTGTTTGTCTGCTGCAGTTGCTGAACGTGGATGCTCGCTTGCGTGGCAACTGAGGTGACTTTAGCTTTCAGGAGGCATTTTCAGAACTTCTCATCTGCCCTTTGGATGACTGGGAGTTTTTTTCCCCTGTAATCCCGCCTATTTTTCAACAGAAAATATAAAGCCAGTACTTAAAAACATGGATCGTGCTGTCTGCCAAGAACTGCTGGGTTCATTACTCTGTTACATAGAAGCCTATTTTTCTTTTCCCCAATGTTTTGACATTAAAAAACAGGCAAAAATGCTTTTCTCCAGCCTGCACCATGATGGCATGAGTATTTTGTGCTATTCCTACCAGTGACCATATGGAAATGAAGCATTGCAATAGAGATAACAGAAATGCGATGGTTACAAAAGCCATTTGCTGCAAGTCCTGACGCAGGGCAATCTCAGAACTGTCCTGTGATCTTGCAAAAACACCGGCCAGGGCCTGACTGCCGCAAAGACAGCACGGTTCAGGGGTGTAATTTTAGCTGAGAGCAACATCCGCCCTTTCTCAAATGTTTTCTCAGATGCAGTGATGTAACAGCTGAAAATAAGGGCTAGCACTTTCCGTCAGTGATTCCTGATTCTCCCGAGGGACCATCCCTGCCATTTTAAGGCCAGTGACTGATGGACACTTTGCCTGGCAGCAGTGTCCTTGGTCGGCTCCTCCTGATGCACGTGTCCACGTGCTCCCGAGCAGGCACAAGCCACAGTGCAAGGGGCTCTTGCAAAACGAGGGCTGCAGGAAAACACAGCTGACAACCATTTTTTGCCCATGCTGAACGCTGAAAAAGCTTAGATCCGTATCTGAACTCTGCTGCTTACTTTCTAATGAAACCACAACTATCTCTGTTTCATGCTGTTCAGAAGGCAGATTGTGTTTCTTCAAATCCTTCAGCTCTTTGAAAAGGAATAATGCTCTTGCATTTATTTGGCTCATTCCCAAAGGCTCAAGAATGCTTTATAAAAGCCTTTGGTTAGATTCCCTTCAGAAAAAAAAAAAAAAAAATCCAGAGTTGCAAAATTGAGCTACTGCAAAAGCGAAACCACTGTGGTGTTAGTGGTCACCACCAAGTACTTGTGAAATGCTTTAAAAAATGGTTCTGAGCACTTTGCAAAATTGAGTCATAGTATAATTTGACCATGGCATTTCTATTGCCACTCTCTGAATAATAACATAACTGTATATTTACTGACGGGAAAAAAAAAGAATCAAATCATCTGTATTGAAAGGTTGTAGCTATTATTAGATAAGTAACACACTGGGGATTGCCATTTCTCTTTTTTTTAGAGGAAAGTCCAAAATCTATTGGGAGCAGAATGGGAAAAAAAAAAAAAAAAAGGAAAACTTATGGGAAAGCAAAAGAAACCAGATAGCTCAACTCTGACTAAAAGTTCCATTAATGCAAATGCTGTATGTTTTTTTTTTTTTACAAGCAGCTTTAGATCTTCTAAGATCGGACACATATTATTTTAATCACAAAAGAGAGAGAGAGACTAAATAGAACTGTATCTTCCTCTTATTTCAATCTTTAAAAGACTCTTCAAGGCTCATCTTATGTTTTTAGGGCTGAATAAAATAGCTTATCTGGTGATATACCATCTCATCCTGACTGACTGTTTCCTCTGTGAAGACTAAAGCTGCCGGCTGCCTCTTCAGAACCGTGTTTAAGCAGCTAACATCTGGGCTAGGACTAAGTCTCAAGCTCCTAATGGTACTACAGGACCCTCCTCATACTCCTCCCAATGTTTAGTGGGAGGCCGGGTAAGGGCAGCTCCTACCTCGTCATCTCAGAGACTGACCCTGAGGGCTCAACGAGATTTCTGTATTTTCTCTGCTGTTGGCTATTTCTGGTACATGGGAAAAGCTAACATGTGGTAAGTTACTGGTGTGGTGCAGAAATTTTGAATGCTACCCCCAAATTCCTTTTTTGGCCCCCAGGACTGAAAGAATTCATTTATTTTCTGGGACGGTCATGTAGGAGACGTGTGCCTGGCTTGTTTGTCACAGCTGGAGTGGTGCGAGTGGATGAATGAGACCTGTCAGCACAGGACCGATGTCACCTCAGAGAGACACTGTCACGCGACAGGGCAGCAAGGTTTCTCTTAATGCCTGCAATCAAAGGATGCAGAACATGTGGGGAAATAACCCAGCAGGATTAAAGGTGTGGGGATGGTGGGGTGGGAGCTCAGCTGCTCCTCAGCATGGGTTTGGGAAGGGAAGGAAGCAATTGTGGCTGTTTGAGGAAAGAAAGAAGGAAAGAAAGAGCATACTACCAGCCAAGAAACATCTGTAAGAATCACTTTTGTCTTCTAACCTTATGATCCTAAAGCACTGTACCCTGCTTGGCTAATGCAGCTGGGCTTGTTTTGGAAGGGCTGCCTTCCAAACCAAGCCAAGATGTTGTTGCTACAAACATCTGCTGACTGTGGCGTGTCCTGCAGTGACCAACTCCACCAGCCAGGCTGGTCCCTTGGCACTTATCTCCAAGCTGAGAAAAACAGGGAGAGAAAGAAGGGTGCTGAAGGCAAGTGCCAGCCTGGAGGGGAGGAAAGGGCACAGTCTGGCTTTGCAGCATGAGTGCAGTGGTATCGGTTGTAGGCCTGGCTGACTCTTGGAGGCAATTCTGTGCTTTGGATCCATGCGTGAAAGGCAGCTCCAAGCAGTGTCAGTTCTTTGCTCTGAGATCAGAAAAGGAACAGCCCCTGTCCCTTTTGCATGTGTTTTTTCTTTCCTCTTTTATCCTCCTCCTCTACTCTTGCCAGCTGCTTCTAGATTGTAATAATACCTCCAGGGATAAGTGTAAGGGTCGCACACTAAACTGTCTACAATCACATTTTATACGATTAGGGTTTTTTTTTTTTTTTTTAAGCACCCTGATTATTACAGTCAAACTGGATTAAGCTATTGCTCTAATAGATTTTCAGTTCCTGTAAAATAGGCCACAGAAAATGACTTTGGGGAGCAGTGGGAGTGGAGGGAAAGCTCTTTCCTGCTGTCACTTTTGCTTCGCATGCTTTTGAAAACGCCACGCAGTGTGAGAGGTGTGAAAGGGATCCCATGCAGGGCACTGCAGGACTCCCCAGAAAAGCTGGAGCCTCCAGTCCTGGCTTGGACCTGTGCCTTTTG